GCCAGCTAAAATCTTGCCTACGGCGGCAAATTGGTCAGGTAGCCCTGGTTATAGTCTTCCTTTAACTATTTTAGATAGAATAATAACTGCAACTCAATTGAATATGTCGTGAACAAGGTTTTGATTATGATAAAACAGGGCAGGAAAATAGCATAGAAGAAGTGTGCCACGAGTTTAGAGCAGACCCAACTGCTTTGACAAATCATAATTCCTCACTCAAATGTGCACCATTGAATTAGGAACATATCTCAGACATTAAAAAGTGATATAAGTAAATATTCCAGGAGAACTTACCTTTCCCAGACCAGCAATCATTGGTGTATTTTCTGTGCTGTAATATTCAGAGAGAGAGAAAACAGACCCAATATGTAAATGCGCAGCTCTGATTCTGGCTGTTGTTTTATGCATATTTGGTATTTTATTGACTATTCCTCGTGTAAGACCATATTGTATGTTACCCCGGTCTGAAGTTCCTCTCCTGTCCTCCTCCAAACAGCATGGGATACACAGGGGTTCTCGTCCCAGGGCCATTCACATACAGAGCACCGATCCGAGGGGCATAGAACTAAATATTTAGAAAAAACATTTCAATCAAATGTTTTCCTTTTGTCCTTCTGACAAACTATATATTTTATACAACAGATTCCTGACCTTGTGTCCTACTATGGTGAGGTAATCCACTCCCAGTTCACAGGCATGGACTGGGATTTTGCCCACAGCCTGAGCAGCGTCGGTGTGCAGCAGGATCTGCAGCCGCTCACGCTGCCTGTTCAGACGCTTTATCCTCTGGCAGATCTCTGGGAGTGGCTAACAGGAGGACGATGTCAGCAAACAGGTCATTACACTGTACCGAGAGCTCTTTCTCTTTACATTGGAACTTCATTTCAATCGTATTCAATGCATGATACATGTAAGCACTAAGCTGCAACTGTCTGCTTCATCAGCACAAATTATTCCTTTTAAAATGTCCAGATTGTTTATTCAACTATTTTTTATGATCATAAAAGTAAAAGGTCTTTGTTATCAGTTCGATACGGAAGCACTGTGATGAAAGTGAGGGAAAATACATTTGAATGATCCTGTTTACAAGTCTAATCTAATTCTTGGTGAATTAGTAAACTATGTAACACTACTCTCATTTTTATCTTTTTAGTAGAAATGTTTGGTACATATGGTTGCCACCTTCTTGTGTACTGTGCCACCACTCCGATAATCCTGTATCCTCCTCATATTCTATTCATATGGACCCCCTTCAAGTAAGTAATAACACATATCACAAACATTGAAAAACAGATTTTTACCGTTTCAATTGTTTCACAGATTTGAAAATGTAAGGAGTTTAGTAAGATTATCCTGGCAAAATATTTCCCCCACCTTTTCTCAAGTCATAAACACAGGGGGCAAACCACTCAGATCACTAAAGCGATCCCCAACATGTGCTTACTCACTTGCCGCTCAGGGCTTCCCTGACAAAGAGATAGAAGAGAAAATGAAAGAGAAGTACGGTTTGTAAGCCTCTATCTCCTTCTCACCATGACGACCCCGGTCTCATTGTTGGCCAGCATGATAGAGACGAGACAAGTGTTGGAGCGCACCGCAGCCATAATGTCCTCCACCTCCACACGGGCTGTCACCTTGGACACAGGCACATATGTCACATCTGTGACAAAAACAGAGAGAATGTGCAGGCAAGGAATCTAGTTGAGGTTAGTCTTTCAAATGAATCAGAATCAAGCCAGATACGTTTACACATACAAGGAATTTGCTGTGGTGTATGGTGGTGCAAACATAAACAACATAAATAAATAAGTTGTAAGAAAAGGTAAACAATATAACGATTATAAAAGAAAATATATTTTTTGAACAATTTAACATTAAAAAAGAATTATTTGTATTCAGACCAAACACACATAAAATATAACACAATGAATATATGAGAATAAAGCCCGATTCCTTAAAAACAAAAAAGATAAGAGGAACATAAGATTTACTTTATGGATCCGAATTTGGGATTTTTTATTCTCTTCTCTTACCCGCCTTGCCCTCTTTCTGTAGTTGCTCAGCGACTAGTTTGACCGAGTCGTGTTCCACATTAGAGGTGATGATGTGAGGGAGGCCGCTGCTTCCATTCTGATGCCCCCCCCCTTCCTCTGCAGCCCTGCAGCTCCTCCTGAAGTGCTCCACAGCAGTGTGGAGCACCAGGTTATTGGCCTGAAAGAACATTTCATTGTTATACCATTGCATGCACAATACTACTGTCCTGCACAAAATACTTTCCAGCAGCACACTTAAGGGTCAGGATTACCTCTGTTCCACCTGATGTGAAAATGATGTCTTCAGCTTTCCCTCCAACCATTCTCGCCACATTCTCTCTGGACTGATTAATTATCGCTTTGGCTTTAGCACCTAGAAGGCACATTTGTTTATTTCAGAAGTAATGCTTTATTGTTTGCATCCTTAGATAGATTATCTGAAAAGGCAAACAACAGAAAATATTACATTTTCATTCATCTCATAGTATAAAAGGTTTAATGATCTCTTTACCTGCTATATAACTGCTGCTTGGGTTTCCCCAGGCGTCCTGCAGGGCTTCAGAAATGGCCTGGATCACTTCTGGTTCCAGTGGTGTTGTTGCATTGTAGTCCATGTAGATCCTACATCCCATTCAGTACATTCATTGAAGAGAATATTTTTCAAATCGGCTGTGTTAAGCATATATGTTACTCATTAACAAGAACCGGAGCATAAAAATCATCCAGTCATTTTTTTGGAGTCAATGAATGAATGAAACAATGTGATCAATCCAAAACAGACCTTCTTACCTGTCCTGATTCATTTCTGAATAATGTTGAAAGGTATGGTCAGTGAAGGCGGGACCCTTTAACTAGCCGAGTTCATCATATTGTTTGGCCTTAATAATACTCCTAGGGAAAAATAAAATATTTAGAAGGTCAAGTCAGCTTATTATTGGTCCCAGGTGGGCAATTTGTGCTGCCGCAGATTTAAAAAATATAATATATGTGTCCATCACAACCCCACATGGGCTATACATAATAAAAGGAAAATTGAATAATGTCAACATCACCTAGGCTTGTCACAATTACCAAAGTGATATACAACCCCTTCCACAGAATATGACTCATCTGTATGATTCTGAACATTAGCATCAAAGGCAAGAGCGTCACTGCAAATTAATAAATTGTAACTCCATACAGCACCAGGGAGCTCCTCCTGCCATCAGCATACCGTTTCAATGGAGACGGATGTCTGTGTAACATTATTACTCAATGTCCAGTATAAAACTACATTTCAACCCTATATTACTATTTGAATCAAAACCCTCTACTTTTGTACTTCACAGATTACATGTAAAGGGCTGTCATTACTTGGACAATACTGCGTTAGCATTGAGTGCAATGTGTTTTGAAAGTTGGTTGGACTGTAAGATAAATATTTCTCCCAGAATAGGGACGACAGGTCATCAGCAGGTGTAATGCATGTGTCCTTTAGACAACTGCATTTATTCAAATGTCTCACCAAAAACGTTACTTTTAAAGATAACATTTGAACACATCATCATTTACCTTCACGTTATACTCATTTGTACATATATTAAAGAGTCACAATGTATCTGAATTGGACCTCTGATCACTGTTAACAAGCTCTCCTCCTGCTCATTTCAACAGGGATTTGATGTTCACAAGGTAGCATCATCAGTGTGGGAAGAGGAGAGCTTTGTTTAGCTCCATGCTTTTGGATAATGTTTTGTATCTCTCACTGAGACATGATACAGCATGTGTATTGTTTATTTTGTACATGGCAAAATGTGGGAAAGCATTGATAAAATAAATCAAGAGTCACGGAGGAAACCGTTATCAACTGAAACCTGTTTTTCACTCCCACCCCTAACCAGGGCAGAAAGTGATACAACATTATTAAGTGGCCTCCAGGCGGCCCCTGCATGAAAGGTCCTGGACTGGAGAAGATGTAAAGCAGTGCCCCACAGGCTGCCCTAACATGGCCGGTTCTAGGGAGGGGCCACATGGGCAGGGTTGCCAACTCTCACGCATCTGGTGTGTGACAAACGCTTTCACTCTCAATCTCACGCTCTCACGCTGCCCAAACTATTCTCACGCCAAAACAAGAATACCGAAGACTAGAAACGGTTTTGAAAACTTT